AAAAAAAAAAAAAGTGCTGGCTGGGTAGCTCAGTTGGTTAGTCATTCCGATATGCCAAGGTTGGGGGTTCAATCCCCAGTCAGGGCACATACAAGAATCAGCTACTGAATGCATAAATAAGTGGAACAACAAATTGATGTTTCTCTAATTAAAAAAATAAAGACCTTTCTTAGGATTGCCTTCTTTTTTTTAAAAAAAATATATCTTTATTGATTTCAGAGAGAGGAAAGGAGGGAGAGAGAGAGATAGAAACATCAATGATGTTGTGACAGAGCCCGCAACCCGGGCATGTGCCCTGACCGGGAATCGAACCCCAATCGCCTGGATCCTAGGTCGACGCTCAACCGCTGAGCCACGCCCGGCCAGGCAGGATTGCCTTCTAATTTTTCCTATCTGTGGCTCTGAAGGAGGTAGCAATTATTGATGGATAGGCAGTATGATACAGTCTTTCTGTTCTACATACATACTACCTATTTAATCCTTCCAAATATCATTTTATATAAAATAACTTACTCAATTTTACGTAGCTAGCAAGTGGCGGAACTTCCATTCAAACCCTGATCTTTCCTCCATAGCAATGCTTCTCAAACTTTAATGTGCATATCACCTAGGAACCTTATAAAGCTGATTTGGATTCAGTAGATCCGAAGTGAGGCCTGAGAGTCTGCATTTCTAATAAGCTCCCAGGTGATGTCAATGCTGTCCAGGGACCACACTTTTGAGTAGCAAAGTTTTTAACACCAAAGAAAAGCAGGTGTCAGATCAGACCAGCTTTCAACAGAGTTCTGTGATGGCTTTTTTATTTCAAAGCCAATCTGTTTCTACTACACCATGCTGCTTCACTCACTTTACATATACATCTTATAAAGACAAACTGCTTAAAAGGGGATAATTTTTGGCCCTCATGCAAAGAACTACACAAATAATTCTGAGTTAATTCTTAAATATTAAATGCCAAACGAGTAAATCTAAATAATGCAAGGATTCCAAATTAAGAACTGTATTCAATGCCTCTACTATTAATGTTTCTTTTTTCCTCTTAGCATGAGTTATTCAAAATAAAAGGTATATCTAAATCTTCTTTAGCCTTACTTTTTTCGGTCATAGCCAAAGATTTCTCGAATGTGCTTGGATATCTCTTCCTGAGGTTCTCCTTCATCTTCTATAAAATCTTCCATTTCAGAGTCATAGTCATCATCTTCCTCCTCATCATATTCTCGCTGCCTTTTGTAACCACTAGGGAAGGGAAGCCTTTGAGGGCCTAAGGATAGAAACATCATTATAAGAACATTAAAACTTAAAATAGTCCCCTCCTCAAAGTAAAATAGTCCCAACAAAGTTTTACGTAAACTGAGATTTTGAGACCTCATTAAGACGGTCTTCTCCAAAACCAGAGCCAGCGAGCTAGTGCACAGCATGGAGTAGTTCCTACACCATCCCTGCTGCTTCACAGTATCCACAAGGAATAGAATTACTGTATATTCTGGGACGTACTCTAAGTGTCTGTTACATTTTCTAGCTTTGAAGTGCCCATTCTTCTGGACTTAAAAGATTGGCAACATTTAAAAAAAAAACTACAAATAGCTATAGAATCACTAACTTTAGATTTTGCAAAGACACCATAGGTAGCAACCTACCATCTATTATCACAATTTCACTAAATTTTTAAAAGTCCAACAAAGTAGGAAAGATTCTCAAAATTATGGATAATTGTTAAAACTGAGTAAAGTCCAACTTTACGAAAAACTCACTACATTATCCTTAAGTTTTGTCATTTTTCCAAAAGATTGATTAAAACTTCTGCAAAAGATTGACAGTGACCAATACACCAGGATCTGGGAAAAACTGCTTTCTAGTCCTTGATTACAGACACTCCTTTTGTTCTTCTAAAGTTTTTAATATGCATCGCTTGTCTCATTAGCTCAGACCTTCTTTCTCAACTTCAGCATTACTGACATTTTGGGCCAGATAACTCTTTGTTATGAGAAGGCTGTCCTGTGCATTGCAGGATAGTAGCAGCATTCCTGCCTTCTATATAGTAGATGCCAAAAGCATCCCTTGTCCCCAGTTATGTCAATCAAAAACGTCTCCAGACATTGCCAAATGTTAACTGGGATTCAAAGCTGTCCTTGGTTGAGAACCAATGTTCTAGCTGAATTAGGACATTAAAAGCATGGATGAGAATATTTTGTTTCTCTTTATATTCTCCATGGTGACTAACAGGTGCTTTAACAAAGGCTTATTGCCATGAAGAATTATGACCTAGCAGCTAGCAGTTGCCACAAATGCTCCTGTACCTTGGGACAGTAGATTCCTAAAGGACTAGTAGCTAGGGCCTTAATGTTGCACACACTAAGAAGCAGAAACACAAGGGCAGTCTAAAAGAGTTCTTGGCATACACTGGGTACTTAACAAATATTTGATGAATAAATAATACACCAAAAGGCTTCAAGCTTACAAATACACTCCAATCCTTGAAGACAGGTCTCTCTAGTCTTCATGAAGAAATGAATTCATTCACTGAACCATGTAAGTAAGGCATATACACTCTGTCTTACAAATCACATAGCTAAGGTTACTAAACTTGGAGACATTATAGGGATAACCCCAGATAGCCCTAGATATGTCTGTTTCTTAAGAATTTTCCAAGCTATGATCACTAAAGGAACTCTCAGGCATACGACAGACGAAACATCAGGATTCTATCAACATAAAAGTACATTTAAGGGCACACAGAAGGATTACAGGGTCTCTGGTTATATTTTAAAAAGTGTGCTTTCCAATTTCCTAGTGACAAATAGATACTCTTAGGGCAAGGGGCAATTTTACCTTGGGCAGATCTGTAGCCGGATAAGGAAGGTTTCATTCCATTCATCTGTCCATTGCTGGACCGGCTAATGATATTCTTGGAAGAAATTGTTTCTGAGACAACAGTGCACCTGGGCTTTGGGGAGGTGCCTGAGCTACTAACTATTCGCCCAGGTCCCAAGCTGCTCACTGGTCTTCCAGGGCCTGAACGACTAACAGTCCGTCCAGCTGGAACTGAGCCACTTACTGATCGCCCAGGGCCACTGACTGAACGCCCAGGGGGCACTGAGCCACTCACTGGTCGTCGAAAGTCATGTGGACTGTTCCCAGGCCGCCCAGGGCCACCAGAGCTGCTCACTGATCTCCCAGAACCACCCGAGCCACTGATGGGTCGTCCAGGGCCACTTGTACCACTGACTGTCCGTCCAGAATGGTTTAAGTCACTAGCTGGCCTTTTGGTCCCACTGACTGATCGCTCAGGTCCTGAGCTGGAGCTGCCGTTCTGGCGCCTGGGCACGGGGCCAGAACTACCTGAGGGCCGAGCAGTCCCTATGCTGGGCCGCCCAGGAGCTGAGCTGGAGCTGCTGCCTGACTGCCTAACACCTGGACTCTTAGCCTTATTATGTGGGGTGGCCACGGGCCCAGGTCTGGAATGGCTAGAATGGGAAGGAGATTTTTTGGCTTTGTGCTCAGTAACATATTTCTGAGTCCCTTTAGCAGAAGTCTTTGGGACACTTGGTGAATAGGTGCTTGAGTGGGTTTTTCCAGCCCCATTGAAAACAGGCCTGTCATGGTCCTCATGAAGTGCGGGTTGGGAGTAGTTGCCAGATCCCACTTTGGTCCTCTCTCCTGGCATAGATTTGGATGAAAACAAACCTAAATGTTTCTCCTTAGCTGTGCTAGGTCTGGATTTCTTCTCAGCATGAGGAAGGGAAGTACCCTTGGAAGAAGGATGCCTGTCCCCAGAAACTTTGCTAAGTTTTGTGCCCACACTTTCTTTCTGAGAAGGTGCCTTTTTGGTTGGAGGTAGTCTTGCATCTGCCTCAGGTTTCTTTTTCCTATGCTTTCGTTCAAGAAATTCTCGCTCCCTAAGTTCTTGTGCAGTCATAGGCCGCTCCTCCGTTTTCTTTACTACCTTGATTTCCACTGGTTCATGCTGCTTTTTCTCAGCCAGCCTCAGTAGATCAGTGAAGTTCATGAGTGGTGGGGCACTTTTAAGGGGAACCTTTGGTTTGCTTTCAACTTTGGGAGGTTCTTGTTCTTCCTCATATTCTTGCTCTGATGCTGCTTGATTGTATTCTAAGAATTCTTCCTCTTCTTCCATCTCATACTCTTGGTCTGTTCCCTGACCAGTGTGGCTTTCCATTGCCTGTCTCTTCTTTGACTTTTCCTCAACAGGAATCCCATTGTAACCATGGAAATTGTCCTTTGTCCTCTTGGCCATAGCTCTTGCTTTCTTGTCATGTTTTAGTTCAATTCGCTTTTTCACTAGTTCCTCTTTTCTCCTTTTCTCCTCTAAGGCTAGAAGGAACAAAAAAGAACATATTTCAAGGTCTCATGATAACAGTATGTTCATTGGATATCAGTAGGTGGCCACAACATAAGGAACACTTAGTTTGAAACAATATAGTTTGAAGACATCTAGGAATCAAATGAGGAAGTCATTTGAATGAGTATCAGTTGAGGCATCTTAACATAATGAGTGGGTCACATATGGGTTTTTCTATATGACTAAGCAAGTGAGAGGCTTAGCTTTTAGTTTTAAAGATAGAAAATAGTTCATACCAAATAAATATACTAAGTTAAGGGAACTTTAGTACCCACTTAGCAGTTATTATGAATCAATGAATACTTAAACTTATTGAATCAGTTTCCTTGTCATGAAGTAAAATTACTTCTTGAGTTTACTGGTTTTCAAAAACTGCTTCTATTTTAATCTTTTAGATAACACTTTTAATAATAACAAAAAATTAAAATACAAAATAGGTTAGAAGAAGATTCAGAACTCAGGTCAAAGAATGGAGTTCTTATTGGGGTTACTATGATCAATTAAAAGATATAATCAGTATCCCCAAAAAGCTTTAATTCAAGAGAGAATAAAAGATAACATCCATACAACTGATCAACATAAGAACCTATGTACTGCTATAAATACAGTTGACTCATACACATACACAACAAATCCATTAGCCTGTTATGTTACTACAAACATCCACTGTTAAGTACAAGCTGGTTGTGAAGGTGGAAGACTTTAAAACTGAAAACAGCTACAGATAACGCACCTTTTCGTCTGAGCTCCTCTTCTTTTCTTCTGAGAAAAGCTTGCACAGCTGCTGATTGGACACCCTTAACTTTTGGGTCTTTTTTGGGAGGACCCACTGCCAAACTATACCTTTTCTAAAAAATAAACAAAAAACAAAGAAAACAAGGGTAAAAGTTATAACCAATCCAACTTAAAAAATATATTGTCTATCAGGTGTAAGGCACTGTGCCAAGCAATAGAGAGGTTTAAATGTTGACTGAAAAACCTATTCTGAATATAAACCACATTAAAGCTTAGCCATAAAGTTTCAGGCTAAATATGACTATGAATGACTATTTTTATGTGCAGCTTTTCTGTAACATCCCAAATAATGCATAAATGAGAAATTCAGAGAAACACTATTTTCAGGCTATTATCCCATAAAGGTACCTGGACTGGAAGGTAAAAAAAAATAAAAGATCATCACTTAGAACAGATTGTCTTAAAATTCTGATAATAAAAAGAAAAAAATCAGCCTTCTCCATACAATGAGGCCTTCCTGGAGGCAAAGGTTCATGAAAAGAACTATTAGGCATCTTCGGCTGGGGCTCCATGACAGCCTGGGAGACCCCTTTCAGAGGAGAGACCCTATTTCAGGCAACAGTGTGCTAGTGGACTGATAGGTTAATTTTATGTGTCAACTTGACTGGTTTAAGAGATTTCCAGAAAACTAGCTGGTGGAACATAATTTCTGGGTGTATCTGTGACATTGTTTCTGGAAGAGATTAACATTTGAATCAGTAGACTTAAATAAGGATCACCCTCACCAATCCATGTAAACAAAACAAAACAAAACAAATCATCCTTCTTCAGAATTAAGCATTTCAAAGTCCAACTTCAAACAAGCAGAAAAAACTATTACAACTACGTTCTTTCCTGAGTACCCTACTCCAGCTGATTTTCTAGTAGGGACTCATGGCTACACAGGTTCTTTTGCTTATAACATGAAACTCTTGAGATTTTACTCTGATCACCCAAAAAGCACTAACATTATCCTGGCACAGATGGTATTTCTCTGGGCTTCACTTTTCATGTAACCGTGTCAGGAAGTGACTAACACTAGAATACTGTTAATATGAACTAGGAAGAAAAAAAATTTCCATTTTATAAGTAACATCATTAATGAAGTGTGATAAACAGAGCTAATAACTCAGACTGAGATGATTCATCTCTAGGACCATCCCACATTAAATTTATGGGGTAGGAAAAAAAGATTTTTAAAGTGCCCTCCCTTTTTTGTCTTATTAGACAGGTGAAATTCTTATCCATTGAACCCGTTGCTGTGATAGTTAAAAAAGAAACAGTAAGTCTAAGAACAAATTCAGCTACTTAGGAACCAAAAAATGATTCCCAAAATGTGTATGAAATTCCTGGAGGAAAGCCAAAGGATCCATGCTTATCATACAGCTGCCAAATACAAGGCATCTTGAAACAGGCTGGAAGTTCCAGCTAAGTCAGTCTGCCAATGAAGCAACTGGCCAAGGAAGCAGGCCCTCACCAACCTGAAAAGCCTGCACGATAACAATGCTGAGAACTGACACATCCATGACAGAGAAATCCCAAGAGAGCATCTAGAGTTCTGTCCTAGTCCCCTTGGCTGAGCCATAATGAGATCCTTTTTTTAAAAATCCATACCTTTGTAAATTTAGTTGTAGACCCTTTCCATAGTGGATTGAGGCCCAATCCACTTAAGAAGAAATGGAGAGGCAAAGGAAGACTGAGGAGAAGGAGCATATTGCTTACCTAGCTAGGTATATAAAACTGTCCTGGTTTACAAGAACCTCAGACATAGACAAGAAGCTCACGTTTTCATAATGGAAAGGCCACCATGAGTGTGAATCAAGTTGCATAAGACATATACAGATTCCTAAATAGAGGTAAACATACTTTCTCCACTCCCACTTCAAGAAGAGGGAGGGTGGATTTTTCTTGCCAAGACTTAAGACTTTTCTGTCCTTGCCAACTATATAGTCCATAGATTCGCCTGCCAAATTAAAGCTTATACACAGTGTTTCCCACAGAAAAATGCCATTATACCCATTAGTGTTAATTATTTAAAATAGGATTGGTTTGCTATCTAGATATTACAGCAGTGAGCACTTCCTAACTTGATTTCAGGATGGACATCTTTCTTCCTAACCTGGGACTTCAAGAGACAGGTAATGGGATTATGACTAGTATAAAAGCTACTCTTTACTGAATACAGGCACCTACAGGGAAAACAACAATGTCAATGGACACAATTTAACACAGTGTTTACCAAGCTTCAGTCTTTTGCATACCACTTTCATGATTTCTCTCCTCTTAGTATACTACCTGTATTATTATTTATTAATTTTAAGGAAAGATGTAGACCTAACACCATGACTTACTATTACAGCTTCACCTCAAGTAATAATATCTATGAAATGACTGGTTAGAAGGCTAGTTATATTATTCCCAAATCATATAAAAATATGTAACTTTTAAAAAATAACTATTAGAATAAAAAGTATTTGAGCATTACTTAAAATCATGGTAGAGTCAGAGCTACGTGTACAGCACTTTAATAAACATGAACTAGGAACATAAATACAGGAAAAGCAGGGCACAAGGAAGAAACAAGAAGAGGGTGATCAGGAACTCAGATTCACTAAGCAAAAAACTCCTGCCCTGGCGGTGCAGCTCAGCTGGTTCCCAATACACCAACGTTGCAGGTTCGATCTCCGGTCAGGGTGCATACAAGAACCAACCAATGAATACATAAATAAGTGGAACAACATATAGATGTTTCTCTCTCTCTCAAGTCAATAAATAAACAGAATTCCTAAAGCTAGCATAAGACTGACCATCACAGCCACATATTGTATCATTTCTTTCAAAGTTTTTATTTGAGCAACCCCACACACATACTTTATATAAGTTAATAGAAAAGTCAACACTGACTACAGAATAAAACTACATTACCACCATTTAAATTTACTTATATAAATGTCATTTTTTTAAACATATCTTTATTGATTTCAGAGAGAGTAAAGGAGGGGGAGAGAGAGAGAAACATCAATGATGAGAGAGTCATTGATCGGCTGCCTAGCCCGCAACCTGGGCATGTGCCCTGACCGGGAATTGAACCCCAATCTCCTGGATCCTAGGTTGATGCTCAACCTCTGAGCCATGCCCAGCCGGGCTATAAATGTCATTTTTAAAGTTCTAGGGTATCGTTTTTATTCCAAAAGAATTAAAATGATACCCTTGTTGAAACATTTAATGGTCATAGAAACTCATTATCTCTTAATTTTAGTTAAGCCTGAGAAAATAATTATAATTTCTCAGTTCAAGCATGTTAGGAACCAGCTTACAGAGCATTCTCCAAAAGGTATTCTCTTGGCCTTTGAAGGTATCTATTTTCAAACTTAATAATACAGTCAAGTAAAAACTAATGTGAATTTTCAAAATTGAAAAAAAAAAAAATTGGTCTGGCTAAGTGGTTAAAGTGTCGGCCTGCACACCAAAGGGTCTTGGGTTTGATCCCTGGCCCCCAGTTAGGGCATGTGAAGGGGGAAACCAATCTATGTGTCTCTCTCACACTGGTGTTTCTGTCTCTTTATTTCCCCCACCCTCCACCCTCCTTTCTACTCTCTCTAAAAATCAATGGGGAAAAAAAATCCTCAGGTGAGGATTAACTTAAAAAAAAAACTTACATATTTTGTATAATCACTTATCTATTTAATAATTTACTTATGGCCTACACATTCTACCTTATTTTATGATACCTAGCACTATATAATGCTACACTGGGTACATGATTTCATTTATATGAAATGTCCAGTTGGCAAACCTACAAAGACAGTAAATAGATCAGTGGTTGCCAGGGCTTGGAGGAGAGGGGAATGGGTGGGAAATGACTGCTGAAAGGTAAGGGATTATTTCTGAGGATGATGAAAATGTTCTGGAATCAAATATTGGTGATGGTTGCACAACTCTGTGAATATACTAAAAATGAACGAACAGTACACATGAAATAGGTGGGGTTTATACTATGTGAATTATATCTCAATAAAAATGTTGAAGAAAGCCTCAGGCTGGGATTACAGTATATTCTATTTATAAGGCAGAAGAACTAGTTGGCACTTTCCCCTGCATCAGATGGCCACACTTAGCTTTAGCAGCCAGCACATCAAGATGCACCCACCAATTCTGAATCTGATTCAAGGCACCGGGCTGCTTCATTGTTTCAGCTTCATGAAAAGCAGCTGGACAAGAATTTCTTTCATCCTAAGGACATCCACTTTATTACACTGCAAGTCAACTCAGTCATTCTGCTGGACCCCAATGAATGATCCACAACAGTGAAGCTTATGCCATTTAAATAACGTATCAGAGATGTTGCCAAGATTTGTAATTCTAAAGCCAAGAGACCTAGGAGACATTAAGACACTTTAAAACATGTATTCCTTGCATTGAAACTATACTGTCATGGTCATATTAAAAAAATTAGGGGGGGTATCGGGAGGTGGGGAAGGGTATAGGGGGGATAAATGGTTATGGAGACTTGAACTGGGGTGGTGAACACAGAGTACAGTGTACAGATGATGTGTTGTGGAATTGTACATATGAAACCTGTATAATTCTGTTAACCAGTGTCACTCCAGTAAATTCAATAAAAAGGAAGAAAAACATTAGGAGCTTTCAGCCTGGAGATAATGTGTTCACCAAACATGTTACGTTGGAATCAATAGTCAATCCCTTCTTGAAAGATGTTCTTTACTCAGGAAATAACATATTGTTGTAATTGTAGAAAATATAAATTTCCTGATGGTTTTACATACATTAGAGATCTATTACTGGGTAAAATTAGGAGTTAGGGATATTCAAAGAATATATTCTTAACTTTAATAACCACACAATTTCTAAAATCTCAAAACATCATAGTCAGGGAATGAAAGTAGGCCTGGAAAAACAATGGTCCACATCAGACTTGCTTAGCTGGGCAGTTAAGATGGTGAAAATAAAACCACCAAAAAGCTTACTATTCAGGATTGCTATTGCATTAAATGTAAAATTTACTATTACTGTGTTTATAATAAACTTGATTACAAAGTGTAATATCAAATAG